TGTGATGAGTTAAAAGATTGAATTTTGGAGAAATATAAAGTGTTATACAAATATAAGAGATTACCACTGATATGAAAATATGTTGAGGCAGACAGAATTTTTTTTTCCCTCCAATTTGACAGAGCTCTGGAACGCTCATCTGTTCACCATCCCCTCATCTTTCCCTAGCACCACAAGAATCAGGCACCTTCAGTAACCTGGGGGTCAGCTCAACTCCGTTTGCCTGTAATTATTCTACAAGGATCTGAGGGAGTTAATCTGTGCCTGCTGATCACAATCAGTCATCAGTTCCTGAGGAGAGTGGGGCCGCTTCCTCCAGCCAGAGAAACCCTTTGGACTTCAGGGCTGCTTATGTGGTTCATTAGACACCAGTATCATTCACTCTGGTCTGGGTCAGGCGTCACCAAGTGCTGGTCTTCAAACCAAAGGCCAAAGCTTTTTTTTTTCTTTTTTTCCCCTTTCTTTCAGACCTGGGGAAGGGAAATTGCCTAAAGGAAAACACAAACAGCAGAGGAAAGCCTTGGCCTGAACCACTGAACCCTGTGGAGAAGGCCTGTTAAAAAGTCAGTGATTTCTCCATGATCTTGTCATCCAAGGTCAGAACTGTCTCAAAGTGTTACTTTTCCAGAGCTTGGTTCAGCCGAAGGAGGTGTTTGGATGCTAGTCAGAGGCCCAAGGAAAAGAAAGAAGAAAAAAGGAAATGAAAACTCAGAGCCAAAACAACATCTTAGGGCTGCATTTTTTTTTCTTTTGCACGAAGTCTGCTCAGTGGGTGTCTGGTGTTTTCTTTTCTAAGCATATCAGCCTTTTGTTCAGGCCAGCCTGAGTATTTGTGACCTCATGAGAGCTCCTATGAATCAAAGGAGGGGCTTAGAAATAGGACCACAAAGAAACCAAATACCCATAACAATATTTATATTGTTAGAGTACCTTGCTCTATAGGCTACAATATAATTTATAGTTATTGCTAATGCTCATATTCCTCAGAATGAAGGTGGACTAATAGTCCCATTCTACAGAGAAAACTGAGGCCCAGGGAAAAACAGTGACAGCTAATAACATCAAGAGCCTAAAGGTTTCTTTGAATTTGATCTGCATTTGTCTAATAAACTGCAAGTAGGAGCATACCTACTCCATAATTATTTAAAACCAAAGCAATTACCTTTTCTTCTGCCAAAATCTTCAACACTGTAGGTCTCTAAGCAAAACCAATACATCATTTCATCTTTTTTTTTAAGACAATATATTTCCTTTAAAATGCTAATGTGTTAATAATAATTTACCCCCTCCTTTTGGCAGGAACCAAAGCTGAAGAAACTTAAAATACCATCAGCAAAAAATTATTTATTTCCCATCCCTGGGTTGGGGGGGGAGAGTTTTATTGGCTGGGTCCCTTTTCAATAGCTTTCTGGTTTCAATTAAAACTTCACGTCTCCAAGGGGAAAATTGGCATTCTGGGAGGCTGAAGGAGAGCCAAGAGTCAGGGCTCCACAAGAACCCAGAAAGGATGTCCCATCTCTCTAACCATTTCTCATCTTTCTCTTTTTGCATACATACTGGTAGCTTCTGAGTGCAGATGAAAGGACACTTGACAGAACTCTCTTTTCCTTGATTCTAGCTTTAGTGCCAGGGAACTATCGATTGGGCCCCGAATGGAATTGAAAGCCAAGATAACAGGAGGAATTGAACAGGAAATCTGGAGGGAAGGGCATACCTATTTATTTCTTCTTCAGCAAAATTCTATGTCTCCCAGTTGGTAATTTTTCACTTGCCTGTCAAAAAGATTTCTGTCCTAGATGTCTCTCTCTTTCTCCACCCTCTACTCCATTTCAGGACACTCAGTAAGTTAACAATATTTACAAAGTAACCACTGTGTGCTAAGCACCATACTAGGCACTAAGAAGGGAAACAATTCCTATGTTCCTGTAAAGGATGTTAGCTGAGTGGATGTTGGGTCAATAATGGACCATTACTGGTGTCTGCTGGGTAAAGTGCAAGACGGGAACTCCCAGTAGTTCTTTACTGCATAAGCTCCTGATGTTAACATAGAAAGGATCAGATTACAACCCTTCACTTGCCTAAACCATCTTAGAAATTGCATCAATGAACTTATATAGTAGTTGATATTTTTTTTCCCAAACTAGCAACAGCCACCTTCCCAAGAAAGTACACTGCTCAGGAGATACTTTCTCCCTCTCTGCCTCCTCACCATCTCTTCTCCCCACCCCTTACCCCACTTGTTTGTTCCAATGACACATCTATTTTCCCCTGTAAAAGAGAACTGTCGTTTTTTCCCTTCTCCCCCGAGCTCAGCTCAGGTTACATTGCTACTACCATCTTCCACAGCCTGGGCTTGACACCAGCCCAACACTGAGAATCAGAAATGACTTCAGACAAGAGCCACACACATTCTTTTGACCATAGCTCTTCATCCTCTCTGGAAATTTGCTAACAGGATTCTTCCTCTAATCCCCTATACCTTGGTATTCAATAGTCAGTCCAAAGCAAACACAGCACCTTCAGTCTGACACTGGTTCTCATACTCTCTCTCTCTATCTCTGTTCTCATACTCTCTCTCTCTCTCTCTCTCTCTCTCTCTCTCTCTCTCTCTCTCTCTCTCTCTCTCTCT